TTAGGGAGGGGGTGTTGGGGGAGGTTAGGGTTGGTGATGTTGGTGTGTTGGAGGTGGATTTGGTGGTGGTGGGTTTGAATTGCGATGTTAGTTCTGCGAGTTGGGTGCGTAGGCGGGGGAGTTGTGATGTTATTGATCTGAGGGTACGTTAGTAAACCATGTTCCTGTGTAGAGAGATGTCGGGTGGGCTCACTCGTCCGAGGTGTCTTGGACTTGCGACTCCAGCGACTCGATGCCGGAGCGCAATTGCTCCAGCGAGCGCGAGATCTGGCCATCTTGGCTGTTGGAGGGGAGGTTGAGGGAGAGGGCGCGTTGGCGCTCGAGCAGGGAGAGCTTGACGTGGTCGGCGAGGAGGAAGAGCTGTGGGGGGTTGGTTGCCATGGTGGCTGTGGTTGGTGAAGGTTGGTGAAGGTTGGTTGCAGGCGGTGGTGTAGTGCGTGGTACAGGGACCCAATGCGCCGGAGATGGTAGGCGCGAACGATGCGAGGGAAAGCGCGAATGACTTTGATAATTACGAGTGGATGCGACTATGTACAGCAATCCATGGATGTGAAACAGACACACGACGTTGCAGCTAAAGCGCGAGTGGAGATGGCAAGGCTGCTGCACTCCAGGAGCGGACCGCTGACGACAGGCCCACTATGCCGTGGCTGGGCGGCTGGGGCATCATTGGTGGGGAGCGGCCAGGGCTGCACCATGTCGCTCTGTCGCGCAACCTCCAAGCCACGGCATGCTCCCTTCTGCTTCGGGAGAATGTGCCATCCTGACCGCCCGACATAGTCTTTGCTTCTGGCGCTCTGCAGCCCCCCGTGGATGACTGGCAGGGCGACCATCCGACCAACAAACCCCCCACAGCCACCTCGATCGACGCTCAAGAGGAGACCCGAGACAGCGCATCTCACCGCCGACTGCACCTGCCCCGACGCGAGTGAACGCGATTCTCTTTCATAAGCGTCTATCCGTCGCCAACTCCCGCCAACCCACCACACCAACTCCCCCAGCATGTCGTCGCCAAGCCCCATCCCACCCCCGAACGACCGCCGGTCTTCACGCTCGTCGCGCTCGTCTAGCAACGCCAACTGGACTGGCTGGGCCGAGGAGCAGCACGGTGGAATGCCCGTCGGCGGCCCTCCCAGCAGCCCCTCGCCCTTGGCCGTCCGCGTCTCAAACTCACCCTCAACGAAGCGCCGTCACAGCCGAATCGTCAAAGTACCCCCCGAGTTCGCCAGCCTAGAATACGTCTCCACGCCCGACAGCAACCTCACCTGCCTCATATGCCACGCCCCCTTCGATAAGCCCGTCCAGCTCTCCTGCGACCACTACTTCTGCCGCGAGTGTCTCGATCACGCATGGGCACCACAGCATAAGAGGACCTGTCCCACGTGCCGGCATGCTGTTGAAGGCGACAGTGACATTCGCCCGGTGCCTAAGATTATCGAGACGATGCTGGACGAGCTGGTCGTCAAGTGCCCGAACACCAAGGCAGGCTGCAACTGGGTCGCCCAACGCGTCAACGTCAACGACCACGTCATGCTGTACTGCGAGTACACGCCTGTCGAATGCTCTGCCGCAGACTGTCGCTTGCAGATATCACAGAAGGACTTCCACAAGGGCTGCTTGCATTACACCGTCAGCTGCGAGGACTGTCACGCTTCGCTCCTCAAGAAGGACCTCGAAGAGCACCAGCGGAGCCTCTGTGCCAACCGCTTGACCACCTGCACGCTCTGTTCGGCTGAGATACTGCGGCTAGACCTCAAGCCTCACATCAACAACGACTGCCCGAAACATGTCATATCATGCCAGGGCACCATCGTCGGATGCAAGTTCCAAGCCGAGCGTGCCGACGTCGTACTCCACGAACCAACCTGCGCAATGGCAACCATGGCGCCCCACTTCCGCGAACAGCAAGCCCGCATCGAAAGAAACGAGGCGCGAATGGAGCCCCTGACTAGGAAAGTCGGCATCCTCGAAGACGGTCTCACCAACATCACAAACTACCTGTATCCAGCCAACGGAAACGACGCCTCCTTCCCTGTTACCGATCCCCTGGACCCCAACGACACCGACCCCCAAGCACCCACGCCAGACTTCCGCCTCCCACCCGCTTCATTTCCACCCGTCCCACCAGGCGGAAACGACAATAACAACTCCGCTCAACCTCCTTTCGACTCCCAAGTCCACCACCTCCTCACGCTGCACGACTCCCTCCGCGAAGAAGTATCCCGTATCTCCAACGCGCTCACCGACCTCGACGGCCGCACCAACATGATGATCATCAACGAGAGCCAGCGCTCCAAAGACGAAATGCTGCACGTCAACGCCGCAATCAGCAACATGCGCATGCACCTGCAATGGGTAGTCAGTGCGACACTCCAACAACGCTCCAACGCTACCGCCACTTCCAGAACACCAGGGACCGCAGGCGCAGGCGCAAGTGCGAGCGCCGCGAGTAACGCTACACGTGCGGGAAGTGCTAGGCCTGGTCCTAGTGCTACGATGCAAGGGCCCTTCCGTAGGTTGAGCGACTCTAATAGACAGGATACGAAGTTGTAGTTTGTAGTGGTAGTAGTAGTATCCCTTCTTTTTTCTTGCGTTTTATGATGGAAATGGATATGGAAATGGAAATGATCGCAGGTTCGATCTATGATGGGATGGATATGTCTTTATGAAAAGTGTTTCTGTGGCGTTTAGGGAATGGGGGAAATGCGGGGTTTGGGATCATGTACGACGGACGCGTGCCTGGGTGGGATTAGGTTTATATACCCCTTCTTCTTTGATGCTGGCGCGGAATGTGTGGCTGTCGCCGAGCAGCGAATGCATGACGAGAATGGGAATTGCGAAATAAGATACCAAGAACTACACAAAACAATTAAGATACATTAACTACAATTCCTATCATCGCAATAAACAACCAAATTCCCGTCGCATCTCGCACGTGAAGTCGTGTATACCGTCAGCTGCGAATTCGTGTCGGCGGATCATCGGTGACGTCATGCATGTGGTTTTATCGGACCCTGTATGTACCTGAAGATCGATTACGAGGCGGCTCGAAATTATCCTGGACGCAACGACTAATTTTACTTATCTTTGCATCAACGGGTAGCTGGACGTGTTCTTTTTCTCTTTGCAATGGCGGGGAATACTAGTTCTGACATTTTGATTGTGAGTTTTCTCATGTTTCTTCACGAGGTTGTCGCATGCGTGGACATTGGCATCTGGCATCTGCGTACCACGCGACCGACATCGCGTCTTCTCCATGCAATTAATTGAAAACGAGAAAGAGATGGATCCGAACAAACACACCACCTCATGCCCCAGAACTCATACGTACCAGAAAGGAATTGACTAACACCACCAAAAAAAGGCCGGCGCAATAGCAGCCTTCACAGTAGACCTCCTCGTCTACCCACTCGACACAATAAAAACGCGCATCCAAAGCCCGGAATATGCTAAACTCTACACGGATACCCGGACGGGCAAGGTGGATCCAAAGTTGTTCCGTGGTGTGTATCAGGGGATTGGGAGTGTGATTATTGCTACGTTGCCGAGCTGTAAGTGAAAGGTTTTTAAACGTCGGGTGTTTTTAGAGGAAGAGGAAAAGAGGGAAAGAGTAGGGATAGGAGGAATGAGTAAGGAAGCGCGTTGGGATGAGGGAAAGAAGAGAAGGGAAGGGAGGATGTCATGGATGTCAGGGATGTTAGGGAGAGGTTTGATGAGCAAATAGTTGGGAGGTTATGTGTCGTTCGGACGGAAAGAAGGTGTCTGCGAAAGAAGGCATTTGCGAAAGAAGGGGAACGCCAGATATTAAGGGAAAAGTATACCTACTAACCACCCCAACAGCAGGAGCATTCTTCACAACCTACGAACACACAAAATCCCTCTTCACCCGCCTAAACACCAATACCAGAAACGAAGCCATCCTCCCCATAGCCTTCGTCCACGCCTCCGCCTCTTCCTTGGCAGAACTAGTTTCATGCGCCATCCTCACCCCCGCAGAAGTTATAAAGCAAAACGCGCAGATGGTCTCCGTCCCCTCCTCATCCTCCTCATCCTCCTCTATGAAGCCCTCCGCCTCCACAAACGCCACCCTCCAAACCCTCCAAAAGTTCCAATCCAACCCCCTCGCCCTCTGGCGCGGCTACACCGCCCTCGCCGGCCGCAACCTCCCTTTCACAGCGATACAATTCCCTATGTTCGAGAGACTCAAAGAGGGGATTAAGAAGTACAGAGATGATAAAGGGTTGACTAAGGGGGGTATATTTGAGATGGGCTGGATTACGGCGCTGAGTGCGGGGAGTGCGGGGGCGGTTAGTGCGGTGCTTACGACGCCGGTGGATGTTGTCAAGACGAGGGTTATGCTTGCTGCTGCTGAGGGGCCGGGGGATGGTGGGGTTGGGAAGAAGGGGGGGAATGGGGGGAAGGGGAGTGGGAAGGGGTTGGTTGATGCGCTGGGGAAGGAGGCGGCGGGGACGAAAGACACGGTTAAGAATGCGGCGAGGGACGCGGCGGATTCGCTTAATCCGATGAAGTCTTCGCCCTCGCAGTCGAAAGGAAGGAAGAGTAGTTGGGCGGTGGGTAAGGAGATTGTAGAGGAGAAAGGGTTTAAGGGGCTGTGGAGGGGTGGTGCGCTGAGGGGTGTTTGGACGTTCATTGGGGCGGGCTTGTATTTGGGGGCGTATGAGAGTGGGAGGGTTTGGCTTGCGGGGAGGAGGGGGGAGAAGGTTGATGAGGATGATTTACTGTAGTGGGCGTAGCGTTGAAGAGAGATTTGATAGCACGCTGTCCTTATTTGATGTGCGTGACGGGTATGTAGTATCTCAAGCAGTGTTGATGGCTAATTCCCAGGTAAGAACTGGGAACGTCGGCTTGTTATGCTCGATCTGTTGACCTGCGATTACCCTTCATGTTCCTTCCAGCAGCGTTGTTCGTCGTAGGACATAGCCCGGAAGAGACCCAGTCCATCATGAAATGCTCATAGAAGACACCAAGTGGCGTGTAGCCTAGTATCGCATCCGCTTCCTAGCTAATTCTTTCTCGGCTTTATAAGCTCTCGTATTTAATTCATACTCATTTTCTGGACGCTCTGACTCTAGGCGTTGTTCCTCGGTTCCATCCGGTGAACCGTCAACACGTTCCTGCTTGACAGAACGCCCAGCCAAGTTGTTGGTCTCCTTGTCAACCGGCTGTACATCAGGTTCTGTAAGTGCGTAGTGTTAGTAACGCACACAAGGGATTCTCTGGAAGTATGTGCATGAGGACTTACGAAAGCGAGGTCGCAGACGTTCTTGCAGAGTCCGTAGCGTCTCCTCCAGGCTTTCTCCAAGAGACATGCAATTCTGACTTGAAAAAAGTACTCTCCACGCATTGCTTGTCGGCGCGTTTATGGTGACAACGTGAGATTTGTAGACATCGAATGAGCAACCGGGCAGCTTGTCAGTGGAGTTGATGACGTCCATGAGGCAGTCCAGTGTTAGCTCTCGCGAGTATAAGATACGGGCGTGAACTGGTTGAGTTAGCGTTCCTAAAATGAATAGACGAGTATAGATAGAGCACGAACTGCAGATTTGGTCCTTCATCTCCTTCTCCCAGATGATGTTCTCGTACTTGGACATGGCCATGGTGCTTGCGGTGGTGCCTTGGCCCGGCAACTGGACGTTGAGTGTGGGATGTTGTAGAAGTGGTGGGTAGAAGCGTTGGAGCTCGCTGTCGAAAAGTCTCTAATCGACAAGAAAGCGGGACTCACTCTCACCTACCGCTCTTGTTATGAGCTAGCCCAAAACGGAGACAGCAAACAATCGCTGAGCAAATTTTCAGTCTTTTCCCAGGCGGACGCTGACATGTGGCTCGGTATGTTAAGAGTAGGAGTGTACGAAGTGAAGTAATCCGCATGATGGCAAGTTATGATCGATGGACTGCATTGCTATCTATTCAGGTGGTGGCGCATACATGTCTAACTTTCTGCATATAGACTGTGGAAAACACTGGTTGTATCTTCCTGGCTATGCCCTTCCGACGTCCCAATGTTTTATCCAGAGATACTCTCGCGCATGGGAAGATCATCGCTACATACGAACGTTTACCCACAGATCACTCAAAGCACGTCTGATCCTGTCGTTTCGCTTCTCTCTGAGTACGGTTCCAACGCTGATTGCGCATCCATCAGAATCGGAGTGGTGGATGATCTGATCACGAGACTTCTTTGTGGCCTCTCTTGCCCATGCTGTAAAAAGGTACCTGATCAGCACACGAATCTAAATCTGGCGGCTGGGTAACTTACCGATACTACTGCCCAACTGGCCCTGCATTTGTCCTAGAAGAGCTTTCAGGCCCAGAGTGAAAGTCTCACACTGCATAGTGATGACAAACTCTAAACCGCTGTTCGTAGATGGCGACTTGTATACGATGAGGTGGATTTCGTGGTGTGTGACTGTAGGGTATTTGGAAAACTCTTCGACAGTAGTGTGGAGGACGTCGAAGAGTGCAGTGGCGGAAAAGCTATCTGTGTACATTGCGCGAGCAAGCGCTGTAGAGTGGTCATCAGTATTTGACAATGCATATAGCAGCTTGATAGGTAGTGCTTACATTTGATCTGTTCTTTCATCTTCTCTTCCCAGATGATCGTCTCGTAATTGGACATCGCCATGGCGACAAGAGTATTGAACTTGGAAGATACGTGGGGCTGTTTTATCCAACAAGTGGGAGGTGGAAGGATTCTAGTTGTCGCGTTGGAAATTTCTGATCAGGTGCAGAGAGTACAACTCACCTTCACCTCCGCGCTTGCGTCTTGCGCTAGCTTGTCTGGGAAGCAACATATAAACATTTGCCGAATATCTGTCTTGGGGTTGAAAAGACTCACGAGATGGAACTTTTCATCGATTGGACGCAATGTTATCCACCTAGCTGGTAACTCTCGCAGTGCTATACAGACTTATGCATGTGCCTTTAGGTGGTGCTTCTGTATCTAGTACGACAAAAAAGCCCATCTATGCCCTAATAGCTCGAATCTCTCCACTCGGGAATGCCTGGTGCGAGAACATCGCACCATTAGAACCACTGTCACCAACTACTACCGGTATGTCTTCAAGTTACCAAACCGTACCTCCACTCCGCCGCATCTCGCTCCATTTTGACCGCTGCGGCCTTTTCAGCTTTAGCCTTCTCAGCTGTTGAAGCAAAGTGTCAGTTTCATTTCTTGGATTTTGGACTCATTGGTAAATTGACTTACTGATGCGATCATGCAATTTCAGCTGCAGTATCTCCAGCAGAGCGTTCAGTCCATCCGCTGCAGTAACTTTGGAGAAACAACTCTGCAGGCCCTTCCAACTAACAAGTGAATCCTGCGGGATGTAGACAACTAGGATGGTGTTGTACGATAACCCTTCCGCGCGGTCGATCCCACGATGAGAGTGGACGACGTCGAAGACGGTGCCTTGGGGATAGCTCTCTCCATAAACGGCACGCGCGTGAGCTGGGTAATGATACCGAATTAGTTGTTTTTCTGGCGTGAGTAGTGAGAAGTGATTACGTACACAGGATCTGTTCCTTCATCTCCTTCTCCCACATAATGGTCTCGTACTTGTTCATGGGTTTAGCCTCTGCGGTCGCGGACTGAGCCATCGCTAATAGTCGGTTGTATGAGGTGAGGTAGAAGATAGTGTAGTAGGATGTGCGAGAAGTTTCTTATCCGCGTAGGTACTGTGCAGAGTGCGACTCCGGATTAACCTTCACCTCCGCGCCCGTGTACTCAGCTAGTCTACATTTGGCAGTAACAAACACTCGAAAGTCCAACACCAATGTCGTCATCAAGCCGTGGTCATCTCAGAATAAATATCCATTGCACGGGTCGCAACCGAACATCCATCAGTGACTGCGACTACGATCAGGACTGCGGCTACGACCACGACCATGACTACGACTTCGACCACGACCACGACTGCCAGCGCGACTACGACTACGACTACGGCTACGGCGACGAATACGACTATGACCTCTCTTCCTCCCTGGGCGATAAGAATCTAAATCTTTCCTCCAGCTGCCCTTTGTCGCGTTCTCAACGTCATCATTCTTGTCCGAAGTCCCTGGCTTACTCTTCAGCTTATCCAGCGTCATATTCAGTCCCACTCTCATCTGCTCCAAGAGACGTTCCAATCCACTCGCAACATCAACGTTACCGTCAAGAGAATAAAGTCGTTTCCACTCAACGCTCTTTTGCGGCCGCTCGTACACGATCAGGTGAATGCTGTAGGGCTTTTCCTTGTCTTTTTCCTCTTGGGAGTATGTGTGGATGATGTCGAATTCTGAGCCGTAGGGGTAGCCGGTCAAGAAGGCGCAGGCGTGAGCTTTGTGGTAGGATGGCGTTAGCGGTAGTCATTGACTTATAAGGTATGGGATGACTGGGGGTTGGGAGCTGGGACTACGTACATTTGATTTGATTCTTCATTTCTCTCTCCCACAAGATGGTGTCGTACTTGGACATGGACATGTTGTTAAGATCGTGTATCAGTGGAGGAACGGCGATATTCGTTGCGAGGTGTCGAGACAAGCAAGGCACAACAGTTGAAGCTATGGTATCAAGCGTTCTGGAGGAACAAGGCACGAGATATACACGTTACTGTTTGTGAATAGTCTTTGTTTGATAATGTGAGCATCAAGCGCCCTACCGGCATTGATAGACATTTCTAGCATGCACGATCAGTGTCTCGTAACGCCCCAAAGTGAGGGCTGTAGGAGAGACCATCATCGTTGTTCACCTGGGCATACATGTAGAAGTATAACACACGATATAGCGAGCGCACGTCCTAAACCTGCCTCTACGGACTCGGTGGCATCCTCGGCATACGCACTACATCAATTCACGCTAGATCAGCACAATATTCCTCAAATGTCGCAATATGACTTACTTATCATATCCGAGAACTTCGCTTGCAGGTCCCTCACGAGTTCCTCCAAACCTTCCTTCTCGGCAGACTTCTTGTCAACAGACAGAAGAATTTGCCAGCTTTTTGATCGCGACAACTCGTCAAACGCCATGAGATGTGTGGCATAGCCTTTGTATGTCTGACCTTCATTAACGAGATCTATCGTACTGGCCACGACGTCGAATACGGTGCCGGGACGGACGCGGGGGCTAAACACGGCGCGTGCGAGAGAGAGAGCTTTCTTCTTCAACGCGTTCTCCAAAATGATATCTTCGTGTTGAGTTGAGGTCATGATTGCGGTGCAGTATGGTCCAGAAGAGGGGCCTCGCAGATCGCTTCTTATTTATGGTTGGGAAGACACCTCGTGGCTAGTCAGTTTGTTGTACCCTGAGGTAGGTCACGAACAGCAACAGCAATCGCCTGCAAGGATGCTTGAGCAGAGGAGCTCAGTGCTGCAGAAAACCGCGAGTGCTTTGATTTACTTCATTGCGTGACTTCTTAGACACACGAGTGTCAAGTTGCTTCCTATTCTGTGGATCTAACAGCCCATAGATCCACCACCCACCATCCACCACCCCATCCAACCCTCCCTCAAAGCATCTTCCCCCTCTTCCTCCTCCCAACAACCCACCTATGCGCAACATCATAAACCGCCCTCGTCCAACTCCTCGTAATAATCTTCCCCTCAAACGTCCCACTAACCCAACTAAACAGCACCAGCAACGCAGCACTCAACCCAAAAGTCAACCCAAACGCCCGCCAATAACTGTCCACCTCGAATTCCAGCCCCTTGAACTGAATGCTAAAATACCCCGTCATCAGCGTCACAGGCGTGAACAAGATGGTAATCTTGGCAAGCAGCAAAGTAACCCATGTGAGGCGCTCGACCGAGAAGGATTCTTTGATGGCGATGAGGTTGAAGTTCATCATTACGAGGGACTCTTTTTGGTCGAGGCATTCGGATATTTCGGAGAGGGCGTACAGCTGGATGCGGTCTTTGAGGCGTTCGAAGCGGACGCGCGCGGCGGAGCTGAGGGCTACGCCGAGGAGGCTGTCGGCTTCGGGGACGAGGGGGCCGGGGGAGTCGTTTATTACGGGGTGGGAGGAGATGAGGGAGGCGTTGCCGGAGAGGATGTGCGAGTTCTTAAGTGACGCGAGGGTGGCTTCTTGCTTTTTGAGGACGCGCTCGATGATTAATTCGTAGCTTTGGTAGACGCGTTTTAGGACGGCGAGCTGGCAGCCGATGTGGTGGAGTTGGTCGACGTGGGTTAGATTGGCTGTCTGAAGCATTTCTTGTCGGAGTCGGTCGAGCTCGGCGGCGTAGCCGTGCTCGCGGCGGGAGATGAGATCGAAGGTTGCGCCCCAGTCTTCGAAGAGGTAGTAGAAGAGCAAGCCAGGGGCATCCGTGGGACGGTGGGCTGTTTCCTCATCGCTGCTGCCGAGACGTTGGCGGATGGGTAGCTGAGTGAGCGCTGCCTCCCTTAGCGGCGTCGGTGCTTTCGTAAGTTGCCTGAAGACGTTCACAGTATTCCGACGTGTTGTAAAGAGCACTTTCACGTCTTCTTTGTCCAAAGCAGCGTTGGCGAACGGGAATGGGTCTTCGGAGATCGATATCACGGTTTTATCTTCGCATAAGAGAAGCCAGTTCCATACACGTTTGCCGTGGGGCACGTCTCGGGTTCTATCCGAGATTATAGGGCGGGTGTTGGTTTCTTTGCTGCGGACGTTGTGTAGCGAGTTGTAGCCTATGCCCATATCTGTTTTACTGTCAGCAGAGGTTTTCATCTAGGGCCTATGTCTCTTGTCAAGCAAAGGGTAACTTACATCTCCGACCCTGATCGACGGTACTCCAATGCCATACATCGTCTACTAGCTGGTAGTGATCCAAATCTCGGACCAGCTCCAACTGTGTAGATTGCATCAATTCGGTGAGACCGATACTGGATTCTGAATCCAAAGCTTGTTCATTCGCCTGCTTCGCCTTTTCCCTGATCGAATTGGACATGTTCGATGTGTGTGATTTGTGGGAGAACACCGATCTTAGGGTGGAAGAACTCTTCTTCATGCGCAAGGAAGGGTTGTTACGTGGCAAAACGTGATCGCTCGTCATCATGCCCAGCAGTCTAGGCGTGAAGTCGAAGTGAGAGGCTAGCGTTCTGATCAGCTCTTTCTGGTTGGAGGGATTCCAGATGTTGATCCATCGCGTATGTAGTTCAGTCGGTCGTGGCGATTGCAGCAACTTCTTGTACGCTTCGGCGTTGAGATCGAAAGCGCAAAAGGCATCACCTTCATCTTCTCCAAAGTCGATACAGAAATTGCGGCACCTGTGCTCTCTTGTTTGCCGGTCGAAGAGGTCGAAGTTCCGGTCCGAATCGAAGTTACGGAAGCATTGCCGAATATCGTCGTTGCCTGTGTCTTGGTAGTATGGGGGCAGGTCCTCGGCAGGTGACGCGGGCCGAAAAGGATATGCCATAATGAGAGAATGTGGACTTTGTTGAATCGTATGCGACGTGGGTAATAGCGATAGGAATAAGCGATCTGTTTGGATGACGAATAGTGCCGAACATCTGAACTGGCGATGTGACTGAAGCTCGTGCTGGGATCTTCGTGGGTATGTTTCGTGTGTACCTTACAGTGCGAGGTCACGCGGTGCGGTTGAGGCTCATGCCGGCAAGAAGTCTCACCCAAGGCAGGCTAAAGGTTCGCAGCTGCTTGTGCAACTCCACATCTCTTACCATTCTAGTTTGTACCCAACTAAAGGTATCCTCTAAAGGTACTCGCCAGGGATGACGCTTGTGTAGCTATGCGGATCACGGCGCATGCCTTTGGAATGCAGTATGGAGGCAGCCAACAAGATACAAACGCCTTCAGGTACGTTGCGTCCATGACAAAGTAGAAAGAACAGAGGGATACGGAATTGAATACGATGCACAGATACAACGACATAGCAGTTCGACCTGAAATAAACTTAGCAGCTAGGTCAAGGTACCTAGGTAGTCCGGACGGAGACGTTCGCGCATCGTGAACAGCAGATGATCAATAAATACTAGGCGAACAGTCGAAGTAACACCGCCAGTTGATCTCGTGCAGTGATGGATGCGTCGGAAAGTTACGCAGCAGTCATGGCTTAGATGGAGGATGATGACCTGGTGTCGCGTGGTCTGCATCGAGATGGGCGGCTGACTAGTGGGGTCGGATGATTGCGCTTGCCCCCTATTAGACGCCAAGCGCGCCTTCCCAGATAGGCAAGTTCTGGAAGCCATCGAAGACGGTAGGGTTTCACTGTCAATGAGTCCAAGTTGAGTTGCAGTTCACAGATGACGTCGAACTGAATCCGCCCCAATAACGGAAGACAGCTGATACATGCAGTGAAGAGATATAATCTTCTACCGTCTCAAATATGTACAGACGATAGCCCGAAGAGGCAACCAGTGAACCTGTGGATTACAGTGGTTTTCTATTCACTCTCACACATCTTCTGCTTTTCACTCAACCCTGCCTGTAGAACGTGAACACAACCCGGAACAGGGAAGTTTTGGACAGCTGTCGATTGCAGAACCTCAAGGGTGAACTGGGCAGCTCATCCGCTAGGCCTTTGTACCTAGCAAGTGTGCTGCAGCGTCTCAACGAAGACGAGCTATACCATGTTCTCATAATGGTGGGGCATCATCGCGACTGCAGAATCAGGGTTCGATAGCTTATTGCCGTCTTCACATGCACACATGCTACAACATACAAATACCCACGATCTACTGCTGTGTCAATATCCCAGCCGCCTAACGCGATTCATAGCCTTGCTTCGGCCCTTTTCGCTCTGCGCCTGCGGGTAAACCCCTCGACTGCTATATGGACGCCCGGCGGAGGGGAAGAAAGTCGAGCACGTGCTCCATTTGGACCTCAACAGCGTTCGCCACGGTTACTCCCAACGCGATGGCCGGCCCACTCGTTCAAGAAGCTGCAGCTTCGCAAAGGCCTACAGCGGCCGCGACGCCCACGCTCCCAGGGTGACGTTCTCATAGGAGGCGCGATGGACTGGCGCCATTTCCTGAGGTATCTTGGCCGGCCAGCCAATCATGGGAGCGCAGGACACCCACGGGATCCTTCTCACAGCGCTGCGACACAAAAGAGCCCACGCGACACCCCGATGCTGATAATGCACGCCATACATTGTCTCTGCCGTCCCTTTATCCCCTCTTTGTCGCCCTCTGACTTATTCTACGCGCGGGACACTGGCTGAAGACGTTCTATGAGCGCCTTTACTCCCATCATGCCTCGCCCAAACCTCCCCCCGACTCCCCAGCCGTCGACAGACATCACCGGCAAGAGCAGCGCCAATGCCCCTCAATTGGAGACCAGCTTCAACTTGCCACCTGCAGCGCTGGGTGGTAGAGGAAGCGTAGCTAGCTCCTCTGGTAAATCCGAAAATGCCTCAGACTCGTCCTACCGGCCACCTTCCCCGTCATCCCCAGTCGCGACTTCCAAGCCCGGTCATGCGCGCAAACGCTCCCAGCAGAGCATCATCACTAAGGACGACTATTCTCTCCCGCCCCCGCCTACCCGATCCCGCAAGATCATTCAGATGAAGCCCAAGGATACCCAAGACACGCCCAAGACCTCGTCCAAGACACAGGATGCGAAGACCACGACCGCTGCCACTAACGGTACCAAAAGGAAGCAGGCGGGTAACGCCACTGCGGCGGGACGTAAGATTGCAAGGAAGACGGCACACAGTCTGATCGAGCGGAGGAGAAGATCCAAGATGAACGAGGAGTTTGGGGTACTCAAGGACATGATTCCGGCATGCAGAGGGCAAGAGATGCACAAGCTGGCCATTCTACAGGTACTTCCCGACACTCACCTACAACTCATTCGTATACTAACACACCCAGGCATCCATCGAGTACATGCGATACCTCGAGCAGTGCGTCTCCGACCTCAAGACCGCCAACTCCCGCCGCGACTCCCCATCCTCAGCTACATCCGAGCTCCCGCCACCACCAGTCCGCCGCATGCACGACGACGACGACGACGACGACGAAGAGCAAGACGAAGAAATGGAAGACGCCGTATCACCCACCTACGTCGAGCCACCACCCGCCCAATCCAAATACACCTTCGCCCAAGCCTCACCCGCCATCTACCCCTCCGACCGAAGCGTATACACCCACTCCACCACCACATCCCCAGCCATCATGCCCCACGATCATCGCAACGGCCACTACTCGGCGAACCCCTCCCCCGCGTTGCGTCCGTCTGACCCACACCACTACTCGCTCGGGCCAGCTTCAGTCC